CCCATGTTGAACTGCAACTAGCATCATCAGGCAAATCAACATGTATGGCAATGACAATAACAGATTAGTCCACAAGATGCTATTCTCATGCTTGGAGGCTGTTACCTAAACCATGTCAATGTGACTGCGTGACAGCTTTGCAAAAACCTAAACCCGACTTACATTACAAACATGCAATGTATTCACACTAAACACATGATGTACAAATAAAGGTAATACATACACGAATGGAACACCTTTCTGCCAAACCAACCTTACAGCCAATCGATAGATACAAGAGCAAATTCAATAGCCTCACCAATATAAGTTTTAGAATTCAGCGCAAGAACTAAGGCCGACAAAATTAACAGATTAACCTCATTTAATCCCTTCTTAAGTAAAAAGGCATGGGAGATGAATTCATGCAAATATATCATAAAAATGAGCTAGAATTTCCAAGAAGTTGTAGTACATCTTTTTTTTTAAAAAAAAAAAGAGGCTACAGCATCTATTTTGAACCAAATGGCAAGACATTAAGAAATAAATTGCCTGTTCCATTGGCAAGACATTAGCAGCACCCATTTTTGACTTTATATGAAATATTAAAATATTGTGAGCCACAAACGAACAAACTGTTTATCAACAGACATGAAAGGGCAAAATTGTCACATGGGCTGAAAAAATACCATGGGCATTACAACTAAGTGTATGAGCAGCAGAGGGAACTGACTGAAAAAAGAAACAAAATGTTTGTGAATTTTTAGTTAGTGCTGAACTGTTTTGCTTAATTTCTGTTGCTTAGTTATACTTCGTTTTTACTATGTTTCACCTTGTGGTTTTCCATTACTGCATAGTTGACAAAATATCAAGTCAGAATTCAGCACCACTAGCAAACTATATATTTTCGTGCTCCCAACTAACTGATGCTAGAATGTTTGTAGAAACACAAATGTACTAGGCTACAAGCACTTGATAACACGAAATGTGCCATTTATGCAGCCTGACACGCTAATAAACAGTAAAGTAGCAGGTAGTGACTTGAAATTCGGGCTTGCCCACAATTTTGTGACCCGATGTTGCAAAAACAACAATGAAATATGGAAAAGGAGGCAAGTCAGGTTGGATGCCGAACTTCGCAGGTTAACCACACAGTTGTCAGAAATGTCAGGCAGATGTTCGCTATGTAGTCACAAAAAACTTTCAACAATCAGATCCCACATATCATAGACATTTTGTGGCCCAGTATTTATACCATTAGAAACCAAACATCCCAGACTACTTCAAGACATGCATGCATGCTCATGAATAAAATAAACAATTTCAACTCTGATTTTTCCTGCGTGGAAGGTAATATAGCATTCTAATGTCTTTCCTATAATTACTGGAGGCAGGCCACTAGAAACCCTCATAAAGAAACAACTAATACAGAATAGAAGGAATACATGCAGGGACAGTGATCGAAGTAGGAACGTACTGGGGCGCTTCCAGGGTCAGGGAGCTCAGGAACTTAGCCACGGGCCTGTTTGGTTGTCTTTTTCTATTGATTGGTGCTTTTGTTATAACTGCTTAGTGGGTGCAGGTTTCTAGTGTGGCTTGTGCACTTTTCTTAATGCATCATGTTCAGGTGTTGTGTTTGGTTATTTTTCTTTGTGCACCTGTGAACCGTGTTCAAGAAAATAAAGAAGGGAGCAAACAAATGTCATACAAGAGGCAGACACGACGCTTCGGCAGTATGTGAGCAAGGATGTTACTAATGTTTTCCTTAATCAACTCTATGTATCAAGCACGGGTCATTGAACAAAAAAAACTAAAGACTTAATAAGGTAGAAAAAAAAGGAAGATGCCACCTCATTCAGGCTGGTAACAACTCAGGTGCATTTTTTGCATCTAACATAACTGATATAGCAGTCCAAACCACATATGCAAGAACAACACATCACCAATATGTTTTTGTTCTATTTTGTTTCCCATGGAAGTCATCCGCTCTTAGCTAGGAGCAAAACTTCTGTTCACGATAAGTATAAAAAATATCCAGATGAGATAGTACTAATTACAAGTCAGTCAACCAAAATTAAGCTGGAACGTGAATCGGCCAGCATCACAACAGATTTCAGCAAAAGTAGGTGAACTAAAATTATTGACAGATCAATTATCCAGTGACATGGTAATCACCAACACCTATAGTGTGATGATCTTTCCTAAATGCCTTTAGCTACAGCCTACAGGTAACTCCCCAACAGTACTGATAGTAACTAGCATAGCACGTTATATTCGAAAATTGCAAGAATATACCATTACTGGATGTCTGAACCAGCATACAAGCGAAACAGCACAATTCATTTTTTGTTCACCAACACACCCTGTAATCGAGCATGTTGTGTATAACTCCAAACATTATCCCACTAGCCCTGTTTCTTACGGTTTATTAAAGGCAACTTATATTATATTGGCACAAGTTAACCGCCAATTGAACAGTATCTTAGCACATAATCACTAATTGCACAATGATCCAAAAGCAAGCACCAAATGCATGGCCCTTCGCCCCTAGCGACTAAACAAATCAGTTAAGAGTGCCATATCAATTGAACTAGGCCTGACATAACTAGGCAAAAAAATGAAATGGGGGCAATTGCCGATTGGGCAAAAGATTAACAAAAAAAATGGTGACCTACACACAGGGTGGGTCAATAGGCTGCAACTTCTTAAGCGCTTTTAATCCAGTTCTTTAGATTTACCCAGCAAGAACTACAGATAAAAAGAACTCAACAAAAGTACAAAATTGCTTGCTGGATCCAACACGAGAAACTGTTTACAATGGTCCAATCCAACACAAGAAACTACTGTCATTCACATGCCCACTTATGGATGGTAATAGGTTCAACCTGACTAACTGATTAAATGGCAGTCTAAAGAATGGTCAACAATCTTACAGGCTTTGATTTATTTCCATTGCGCCTCAACCAATCATCACTAGGTTCTCAAGCTGGTTTGAGCCAGGCTGTCAAGTAAGTGCCAAATGATAGCAGGAAAGGCCTGAATTCACTATCTTGGTGGCTTGAGAGATCTGGAAGCATCGGAATGATGTGTTTTTAACAGCGACATTGCAAGTGCTATGGCAGTGCTGCAGGCAATCACAAATGAGAGCATTCTATGGTGCTAACAGGCTGAGAGCCTTTCAGGTCCTGCGTTTTTTTTTTTTTTTTGGGGGGGGGGGGCTAAGTTGGAATTTCTTTTCCATGTACCCTTTTTCTTAAGAAATGATGTGCAGCTCTCCTGCATGTGTAATAATCCAACTTGAATACTAATTACACAGTAGACTTTCAGCTTTCAGATAACAAGGCTAATCCAACCAGCGTTTATCTACATGCGGCATATCTAGATACAACATAAAAGTAATAAGCCCATGGTTCTATAACTAGCAGTCAATGTAATAATCAGCTCCCACATTGTTACATAAGACAAAAATGTTTCTCATGTTTCACCCACTTCGTTGCATAATAGAGAAGACAGCTTTCATAGTAAAGTATATAGTACTTGAAATTCACAACCCATTAATATGGAGAAGTTTGGCGGACACACAAAAGACAAACAAATTGTTTGGAAGATCAATGTTTGATGAGACTGACAAAAAGAAATTACTTACCAAAACGCAAAAAAATATTAGAAATACACCTAATAAACAGTAAATGTTGCTAAAATTGAAAAACTAAATCAGCCTTGATGTACCAACCCATTACCAACTATTAGGTGATAAATCTTTAATGAGAAAAAAATGGAAGACATCCAGAGTTGAAAGGATTTACCATGACAAGTGAGCAGAGGGTACAGCGATCTCCATCCCAGGACCTCAATAACATAAAAGCAAAACCAATTTTCAATTGATACTCCATGAAGATAAATAGGCAAAAAATTTAGAAGCATTATTACAACTAATTTAGTAAAGCAAACAAATTCTCAAATAGCTACTCTACTTTAATGATGCAAACAGAACGTAGACACTGTGGTACATGTGCTTGTATTTGATTACTTTACATACATTTACTTTCCGTCCATCCACCACTGATCTACAAGTGTGTGAATAGGTAGATACAAATCTGGGAAGAATAGATAAGAAACTACAGGTGCCTAAATTTGGGGCAATGGACATCCAGAAAATTTAATAATAGATTTAATATTGTACATACATATGCTAATGGAAAGACCAAACGATCAGGACATATGAATGGTATAAAATTCAATATAGATGCCATCTCTCAACCTAATACAACAGAGAACAATATGTTGATGGGTTCAAACACATTAAGTTACCCAGATATTAACCAGGGTACCTTCTTATGTTGGCCCTTAAGCATATAAAATGTGCACACAGCAGAGGCCCTGGCAGAATCCTGAATGGAAGAAGAAATTAGAATAGAATCTTATAAATTGAAACAGTACACAAGTAGATGTAAGAAACAATTTAACAGTACACAAGGCCTGTGTTAGCATGAAATAGCAGCACGAAATTCTGGTGTATTGCACCCCCAGATATGTTAGTGCTTGAGGACAAGCATACCAGGCATGCAATCTTAAACATCAGCAAAGTAGATGCCGGCACACAAAATAATTTTTGTTCATATAAGTGTGCCAAGCACATGCAAAGATTTGCTTACACCAGTTAAACAACAGTGTTACACATATAACCTTGTTTGTCATAGATCCACAAGTCAGCACAATTGTTAAGTGAAATGAAGAAGACTTTCATGTATATCTTGTAAATCCATAGGAAAGATTGTGTACAGGGAATGGAATGCCAACTGGCTAGTTGTCTTACAAGCAACAGAAAATATCCAAATGATAAGTGCATGCAACAAGGTCTGCAGATAGCCATCTCTTCCATAGTTCCGTGCTTCGTCCATGTACTTGTTCTCAGAGCTCCCAGGACACAAGACAGAAACGTCGATGATTAGACAAGAGGAACCCAAATTGTATTTTACAGTGTAGGTGCTAAGTTCAATGTCAAGAGGAATCAGCATCTTATGTCACTTGCCAGTAATAAATGGATGGCTAAGTGCTTGTGATACAGTTATCCTCTTTTCTGGATCTAAGATAAATATTTTATCAAGAAGATCTTTAAAACTGGATAGCATTTTTGGATCCTCGCCGGGAGAGTTCGAAATCAAAGAACCAACATCCTTAACATCCTTTGGTTTAATGTTCAAAATTAACCTTCTCACAGCCTGAAAACAGAACATAGTAAATAATAAAGAATTCAAATAATCCAAACAGAACATAGCAAAGAGGGTATGGTTCCATAGACACACCGTTTTTGTCACAGGATCCTCCTCGGTAGCATGAAAATTGAGATCTTGATCGAAGTGTTGCATCGTAAAGGCACCCTACAAAATGGAAAGTTAGACACATTCATTTAGAGCAGTGTTTATCTCTTCAATCAATTAGAGAAGTATTTGCAAGTTCACTTAAGACTTCAACAGATATATGGAATTGTTTAAAAAGGACAAAAGGTCATGAGTATGCAATCTTGCAGGTCCTACTGCCACAAAATAAAGAGCTATTCATTTGTTAAGGTTAACAATGATGCAAGCATGTAAGACTAACCTTGCGAAGCATCTTCTTAGGGAATGGACCCTTCAATTCCATATGAAGCCGAAGCATGGCATTATTTGATGGACCAGGAAATAAGACTTTCCCGGTATAAAGCTCATATAGACAGCAGCCAACTGACCACATGTCTAAAGGGTGGTCATAGGCTAACCCAAGAACTGCAAGAAAACAACATGTTAGTTGTCATATATAGGTAGGTAACATGCATACAGACCACAAATATGAGTACAAAGTAGGAAAGGAATCTAAAAACATTCCAGGTAAAGATGAAAGAACTCACTGATCTCAGGTGCCCGATAGAAACGGCTGACAAGATAAGGAGTAACTTCATTCATACCAGCAAGCATAGCATTGCCAAAATCACATAGCTTGAGCACATTCTTAGCCTCATTCACCTAGGGTTACAAGCAATGGACACAGTAATAAATGGTGTTAAATTGGTAGTGCGCATGAAAGAATGAAATGACAGCATATCCAAAAAAAAAGAGTTTTTATGTGTCAAGATGCAATTCCTATTAATATTTTAAGAAAGAAAACTGGTGATAATACTATATAATTAAAAAATAATGATAAGCAAGATGGCATACCAGCATATTATCTGGTTTTATATCGCAGTGCAAAACTTTGCAGTTCTTCAGGTGCTTCAGGGCGATGAAAAGCTGCTTTGAATATGCCCTCACCGCAGTCAGTTTAAGCCCAATATTACGACCAAATTTCTTTAAAACCTCACGAAGATTCATATTGAGAGATTCAAAAACTAAGCAAAGATGGTTCCGGTACATGAAACTAGAAATAAACCGCACGCAGTGGCGTTTGTCCTCACGGTCCGCACTTGCAAGTTTTTCCAATATTGAAACCTCTTGCTTACCAGCCTTGTACCTGTATAATCAAATATTGAATTACAGTCCTATTTAATTTTCCATACTAGAAATTGCAGGAGAAAATCTCTAGGGAGCTTAACTTACATTGTCTCATTGTTGCGAATAATTTTGATAGCAACTTCTTCAGGATCATCTTTACTCGCTTTAAGATCTTTTGCCCGCACAACTGTTGAGAACACACCCTTCCCATGTGCTGCTATGATTTCATAACGGCCATCCAGCAATTCTCCAAACCGGTAAGCTGCACAGTAGCAAAAACAAGAAAATGAATGAATGGACGACACAGGAGAGAACAATAAACTGGCAAGGAAAAATGGACATAAGATAGCAGAACTTACTGTAGTACCCATCTGCATCATCCCAGTTGTCATGAAGAGCATTTCTCTCAATATGCAAACCATCATCCTTGCCCTGTACAACACAATGATTTTGTGACTGGATAAACAAAACAAAGGAATTTTATCTAATACTGGAGAATAAACAGGCATAAATATTCCATCTTCCAAAATGAACAAGTTTACTTTGACATGCAAATAATACATACATGTTCAGAAAGATTAGTGTGTGCATCAAACAGTGTCTCTTCTTGTGAAGTATTGATTGGAATAGCATGGCACTTCTATACATAGCAGAAGAAGGGATAGGAATCATACCGATTTTCTAATTCCCGCAGGTGATTCTCCAAAAATGTCATCACAAAACATGTCTGCTGATCTCTCACTCTGGAATATGAAGGGGACCAGTAAGTTTTCAGGATGATATGAATTAATATGTTTATTGAATACGATAGCAGGAAACAATTACCTTGGGAGAACCCTCTCCAAGACCTGAAACACCTATTGTCCTCTCATCAGTGAATGCTCCCACACTAGTTGAAGCATCATTGTGAGCAGGAGACTTTCCCACAGTAAAGTCTGTTTTGCCATCAAATACCTCTGAAGAATCATGCTTATTTTCAGATTCGTCATTGCCCATAGAGCTGCTATCGTTATCATCTTTCTGATGTGTAGTTTCATTTCCATCCATTGCTCTTACTTCTGCGCAGACAACAGTATATCTTTCAAATAACAACTAAATTGATATGGAGATAGCCCTGGTTAGTTGTGCATTATGTGAACCTGACATTATCTAATCAAGTTACCTTCATCACTGCTACTTGGTTTAGATTCCATATCCTGCTTCTGCGATTGCTGCTGCCTGTACTTCGCCATGATAGCTTCTTTCCTCCTCCTTGCTTCCTCTTTAATTTTTTCAGGGTCGTCTTCCTCCTGCATTGCTAACTGCTGTTCTATTTTCTCTTGGTACTCCTCTTCATCTTCCTCCCTAATATCAAGATAAGAGCAGTAATTATAAATATGCAGAAAACAAAAACAAGAAATAGAAAGGAGGTTAATGAATTAGTTATCAGTTAGTCATGCAAAAACTGCCTTACTTGAGAGAATTTTCCTTCATTTCTTCAAACTTTCGGTTTTTATGGACATGGTCAACATCTCTACCTTTCTCCCCAGATCTTGTCCTCTCTTTGTAACCATCAGACACACTATATTTTGAGCGTGTTGAATCCCTGTGCCTATCACTATCGCTAACTTTGTCCCGTCCTTCCTTGGCTCTATGAGTTTCACTTCCCTTGACCCTGTGCCATTCCCTGTCCCTAGCATCTCTCCCTCTCACCCTTTCATGTGCACTGCTAACCCTGTCAGATTCTCTATGCCGATCTTTACTTGTATCCCTCTTGCTGTCATGATCCCTATGCCTTGAACTACCACTCCGTCTTTCCCTCTCCCGGCTTTGATCACGAAGACGCGTACTTTCCCTTAGATCCGATCTACTATGACTCCTGCTTCTTTCTCTGTGTCTACGAGTAGCTTCTAGTGAATCAATTTTGTCTCTATCTATCCTATCGTCTCTATACCTTTCCTGGCTGCCACGTCTGTCACTATGCCTATCACCATGTCTATCATGAATACCACGGCTGCTGCTCCTTTCTCTTTCACTCTCCTGGATCCTAGCCATATGTCTGCCAGACTTCCCATTCCGATCATTGCTCTCACGATCAGAACCATCCCTAAGACTTGCACGAGAACCATTAGTGTCATCACCTCTCTCTCTAGATCTCAAGTGCTGATCTCTTGAATGAGCTTCACTTTGATGCCTTGAGTAAGGAGATGTTCTAGAGTGATTTTTGGAATGATAATCTTTTGAAGATGAAGAGTGACGGTCATCTTTGTGCCTCCTTTCCTTCTCCCTTCTGGGCTTTGGAGATTTCGAACGGCTTTGGCTTTGCCTTCGTTCATGCCCTTTGTTATCCTCAGCATCACTTGAAAGGATACCTCCGCTTTCAGACTCAGGGGCACCGTTTAATGACCTCCTTCCATCTTTTGAGGATGGAAGGGTAGGCGGAGCAGGAGCTTGCATCTTTGTTGCATATGTGTCTGTGTCTGTATCAGCACCATTACCAAAGTGCTCCTGCATTTGCGATATATCAAACAGTAAGTAGCTTAGACAATTTGGCATGGAGAAGCTGTAAAAGGATATCCAAGTAATACTAACTATGTTGCAGAAATTGAATAAGACCGGCACCTCTAATTTCCTGATTAGACTGCTGCGCCTGAACAACAGAGATGTTATTCAATTTGCTATCTTAGGTGGAAAACCCCACCAAGACAAGACTGCGAAAAAGGCAAGATTTTTGCTACAGACGAAGTAGTTGCTTCCAGTCAGTTGTGTTTATTTTTCAGATTCAGATGGATGAGGTGCCCTCGAGAGCAACTGACATGACATAGTCAGAATACATGAGCAAGCCGGGAGACTAAAAAAAACAGACTAGAGACCAGACTATACTGTAGTAACGAGGAGCGCTTCCAGGGCTAGTTAAAGTCAAACCAAAGGGGTAGGCAGAGAGAGATGTACCGGAGCAAGGGAAGCCTGTGGGGCGGCGGACTCAGGATCGACCTCCATGGCAGAGGCGGCGGCGGCGGCATCGTCGAGTATCTCCCCCTCCTCTACCTCTTCGTCAGCTGCCACGGGTACCGGGGAATCGGCGTGACGGTGCCGACGGTGGTGGTGGTGGCGGCGGTGATGGTGGCGCTTGCGGCGCTTCGGGGATGCGTCGGGCTGGGCGTCGTCGGGCGAGCGAGAGTGCTTGGTGGGGGATGCGGGGGACACGGGGGAGGGGGAGGGCTCTCCGCCGGCGGCCATGGCGATGGCGACAGGGGGCGGGTAGGGTTAGGGTTAGAGGCTCCCCCTCTCTCCTCCCTGCGAGCGAGACGGCGATGCCGATGCGAACTTGCGCTTGCGGACCGAGTCGATGGTGGCAGCGCAAACAAGATTGAGATATCTACGATCCATCTGACATCGTGGCCCCACTCAGCCCCGATGCCTTGGCTGGCTAGTTGAAATGATACCCGAGGTTAATTTTTAGCCGTCTGATCTAAACAGACAATTAAAACCATAGCTAATTTTTAGAGCTGGTTTGAAACCCCCCAATAAAAATAAAAGCACTCGGATTCTAAAATTCAACTATCCACCCGAAACCTACTATCTCGAGATTTTTACTATGCAAAATGCAAAAATAAGATCAAAAACTCCTTAGATCCAAATTCTCCTTATTTTCCAAATTCACTTATAAGTCCCTGTTCGAGAGACCGTATCGATTAAAATCTCACTATAAGAATGCTACGTTTTTACGATGCAATAAGAATGCTACGTTTCCGTGCAATACCCCACACTTGTTCCACTTTGTACCTGGACTTTTATTAAAAAATAGAAAACGGTGAAATACAAAAGCATCCTACCGGTGCAGCATGTATCAGGGAGCCACAATATTTATTTATGTTATTATTATTATTTTTTACTAAGCAAAGTTCTAAAGTTTGAAAACTCCTCAAGTGGCACGCTTGGTTCACTAAGGTTGCGTTCGGTTATTCCGGATTTGGTCCGGAAACTATTCCAGCCCGTCAAAAGTATACAAATTACTGAACCAATTTCACCTGAAATTGTTCCGGGCACTCAATCCACGACAAACGAACGTGCCCTAAGTGGTATTTGAATTGTATGTCCTCACCATGGGTAGATGCATGGCCTCTTTCTTTCCCTAAAAACTATAGGCTTATATGGAGCTCAAGGTAGGGGTAAGGAAGGCATGCCTTTTGTCATGTATTTTGTTAAGTCATATAAATTGATCCTCGTGACTATAAGGTGGACTTGATACACAACTTCTCAAAGATGTGATGCTAGCATAATTGCTATTCCATGATATTCCTCGTACATGTGGGTTTAAAGTGGCTAGTATGATTATTGCCTTCGGCAGTTGAGAGATGAAACAACTTGACTAAAGAAATGACTCCTCCCTCTTTCAAGCATGCTTGGAGTTTTTCATAAGTTTTCAAAATAGAAATTTCCTAGCCTCCACCCAGCGAAACGCGCCCTGTGCGGCTCGGACCCAAGTCGCAAGGGTGCGACGCAGTCTAGCTAGCCACTCAGTGTAGCGTCCGCTAAATAATTACAATTCAACAAAAAGCATCGATCGATAGCTTGTGGCCCCGAAAGGTAGTGCAAATAATCCCAGCGAGACACTAATCCAGGTCTGCACCCACGTCACGTGACCCCTGGATTTTGAGAAGGTTGGCGATCATCAAATTGATTTGGGACAGGTTATTGGATCTTACCGTGTCGAGTTGAGAGAGCAGTGCTTGGCATTGGCGGTGGAAGCGGACGCGAGCGCTACTGCGCGACTTTGCGGGCTGCTCCCGAGACAAGTGAGGCCCATTCATCAGGCCCTTGAACGGTTAAACCCTAGAGAGAAAGGAAAGAAGGGACGAGGGGAAGCACGAAGCAGGTGACCGGCGCCGCCCTTTGCTCGACCCCCTCGTCTCTCCTGCATCTCTCTAACCGCCAGCGCCGGCCATCGTTCCAGCTTGACATGGCTGCGACGACGCCGACCATCGTTCCAGCTTGACATGGCTGCTTGGAGTTTTTGAAATAAGTTTTCAAAATGGTACTCTCGAAGCACTCAAGTGGTTTGCATAGTGTGTGCATTTCTATGACTTGATCCTGCAGTTCAAGCTGCGCTAGTGGATTTCGTGGATAGCGACTCCAAGGATCCTCCTACAACCGCCAAGTTAGCATCGCGTGGTCAATAGGATGACACATGGTACTAGATGGGCGGCTAGGGTGGGGTCCTCACACATGTTGATGGCTTGTGGTCATCACCCACATAGAGATGAAATAGAAATGGGCAAGGCAAAGGTATGCTTGTAGGTCATTTTATTTCACCAGCCTAAGGTTGAGCAGAGAAGTGCTTGGCCGCGTTTAGGGTAGATAGATGTACTATTAACAGAGGCAAATGAGTTTGCTAATCGATTATTTAATGCCACTAGTTGAGACCTAACTCAAGAGTGCATTTAGACTGAGTGGCATGGAAATAAATCAAGTGAAAACCTTTGAAAAATGTTTTGAAAATGTTAACTCAGTGCTAAAGGTGATGGTTGTCTTGTGGGACATCGTTTGGAATCGGCGCAGTTGAAAAAGGTTCGCAAGAGGTGCATAATGTGTTGTTTTCTGTAGCACATGATGTCCTCGGTGGTGGCACTGGAGAGTGCACCGAAGTTTCCATGGAGGCATTATTGTCGGTTGAAGTTTTTAGTGAGCATGTTACGTACCTTTCGTGCCCATCGGAGTGGAAGCATCGAAGGTTTCGCACAGTATAGCTGACAACGTGTTGTGCTATGGTGAGCTCTTGCCGAGGACATACATGAGTGAAAGGATCAAGCGAGGGCCTAGAGGGGTAATGAATATGCTTTGTTTTTTCTGGAACTCACAAAACTCGATCTAACTGTCAAATCGCGGAGCCTCCGGACAGATGCGCGGAGCGCCTCCGCGCGTCAAAGCACAAATCAAACTACAACGGAATTGAGTGAATGAAACTTAGATTGAATGTGATACCAGCCTTCCTGTGGAGTGTGTTGAGCTTCTCAAAGCAGTGGTTGAACCTATAACTCGTGGATCAAGTAGATCGGGTGCAAACCATAGAAATCAATTCAAACACAAGTAATAGCAATAAATAAGCACAAAACAAAGTGATACAATGATTTATCCTGTGGTTCATCTCACCACAAAGGCTTGCATATGTCCACGTTGTTGAGGAAGCCACCAAGGCTATGGAGTCTATTTCAATCCGCTCTTTTTCTCTAACCCACAACCAAGGTAGTAGGTTAGAGGTTTCCACTAAATCACAAAGGGCAATACAAACGTCACGGTGCTCAACCACAACAAATTGGGAGCTCTAGGGCAACCTCTAGTCGAGTAAAGCTCCAAGAGTAACCACACCAAGCGGCTAGGGCTTCACCAAGTGCTCAAGAATGAAGGAGCTTGATCTTCTCTTGCTTTCCCATGTTCTCTTTTGCGAAAACCCTCAAGGAATCACTAAGATTTTGGCCTAGGCTTGTTGGAGCATCAATGGAAGAGAGAGGAAAAGCTGCTGGTCATTGGAAAGTAGTAAATGAAGAAGATGACTGTTGGGGGGAGAGAGGAGATAGTATAAATACTCCCCCTCAACTCTCACAGCTGGCCGATAGACAGAGCAAGTAGGCTCCTCCTCCGAGCCTGGAGGGCCCATGCATGCCAGAGAAGAAATAGGAGTTATGAGCAACTGGCTATTTATAGCTGGGTGTAATTGATAAAGAGATGGATTTGAGCACTTGGATCATCCCAGCACATCATTAATATCCCTCTTAATAGTATGGCTTGTCCTAAACTCAAATTAAAAATAGAAAATAAAGTAAACTAGCTCTTTGAGCCTTTCCAAGATATCCTTTTGAGTTTGGGGGTCTCCAATAATGTTTCTCACACCCATAATGAATAGTTGAAAGGTCCCTAGTTTAGTTTTGATAATTGTGTGACAACCTAGGTGGATTAATAGGTGTTTATGTGAGATACATAGGTGGTTAGTCCATAGGTACACTTGTGTGAGCAACCTATGCCCTAGAGGTGAAAATAGCTTGGATATGTTGCAAAGCTCACACATGTGATGGAGGAGCTTAATGTATGTGATACATGACATGGAGTCATGTGACTAGGTGGAGAAGATCATGATGAGGCTTGGCTTGATGGACCGATTGTAAGCGTGAAGGGCAAGTTAGAGGCTTTGAAGCGATGGACCACGTGGCGGTGAAGCTTGAGTAAGACTTATCGTCGATGGACGAAGGCAACGGTGAAGAGCAAGTGAGGTCAAGATCGATGAACTAATAAGGTCACATGATGATGTGAAGTGGATCATATCATTTGTGATATTGTTAGTGCATGTGTTATATCAACATTAGAGGAGATGACATGGAATGCGCAAGGCAAAGGTATAACCTATAGGGCATTTCATTTCACCGATCAAAGGTTGTGTAGAGAAGTGCATGACCGGATTTAGAATAGATAGCCGTACTATAAAGAGGAGAAATCTTTTAGTTGCAACGGTTATCTAGCGCCACTAAGTGTGAGTTTCATTTGCATAAGCATTGCGCTTAGTGATGTGGTGAGGTGCATGAGAAAGCCCGAGAAAATTCTTTGTGAAAAGCTATCTCAAGTGCTAAATTTGGTTTGATGCCTTTTAGGATGAGATAGCACTTGCTTTGGGGCAAGTTGTGGAATGTGAATAAGAATTTCTTGCTCACTTAGCTTATTATTCTAGGCAGGGGTCCTCTGTTGATTGGCCGAAATTAACTAAAATTATATCTTGCTCGAGCTAGAATTTCCAATGCATAAGGCACACCTGGTGTCGGGGACCTAATACCGGGGTACCTAATGAGGTGGAACCAATGACCATCGAACGTTGATACTTCCGATCAGACTGAACGATGAAAGACTGGTTCCACCTCGCCTGACCTCCGGGGCTAGGCTCCGCCTTGCCCAATGGCTAAGGGCTGGCTCTGCCTCGCCCAACCCCCGAGGGTTGGCTCCGCCTCGCCCGACCCCAAGGGCGGGCTCCGCCTCGTCTCGATGTCCGAGGGTAGGTCTCACCTCGCCCGAAGGCTGAGGACAGGCTCCACCTTGCCCAACGGCCAGGGGCAAAGTCCGCCTCGCCCGACAGCTGAGGACAGGCTCCGCCTTGCCCGACGGCCGGGGCGAGTCCGCCTCGCCCGACGATTACACCTTGTTCCTTCATAATGACGAGCACAAGGTACGACAGGACATTCAAGTCAAACTTAGTA